CGTTTTCATTAGCCATGTGCTTAAAATGAACATTTTCGTCATTGAACTACTGTGTACTATACTGTCTCATTAATATTATGTTTTCATAAGGCCGGTTGGTACGAATATAGTCATGTTACCTTGTAGTGGCGGTGTAAGAATATCTATTACTCCATATCGTCGTGTGAATGACGCTAGAGGCGACAGAAGAAAACTAAAACAGGACATGGGCGGCAGAATTTTCCTAATAACAATTTAAAATTATAAAAAAAAACTACTATATAAAAAAACTATGGCAAAATTTCCCCAATCAGGCAATCTATGGGGAAGCCTATTTTCAGCAGTGGACTTTTATAGGGTGTAATGGATGGATGGATAGGAGCCCGGTTCTATTCTTTCAGTTGTATGTTACAAAAAGGTTCTAATGCGTGTTAAAAATAAAATTTATTTGAAAGATTATCGTGACATGAAATTTCAAATAGTCTCTATCTATATAAATCAATTGCTGCCCGTTAGTTTCGCTAAGACTTAAAACTGGTTGGACCAATTCTGATGAAATTTTTTGTGTGTTTAAATGGGTTCCTGAATGGTTTATACCCATAATTGTAACCAGTAGGTGACGCTGTTGTCGAGATCCAGAAATTACCGGTGCGAAGCCGGGTTGAATCGCCAGTTATATATAAAAATGGCGAGTGGCTCAAAAATTATTTTGTCGTGTACGGGCAGTACAGTACGGTGATCTTGTTCTTCAAGGTCAAAGACCGTCGACAACGCTATGTTGAAGAACTACGGACCGATTTTCCTTAGGAGACGCGTCTACGTGTTATTTTCGAGAGTCGTTACTTACGAATCGTTACGTACACGGACATAAGGAATTTAAACCTACCGAACAAGCCGGTTTCCGAAAATGCTTTAGTAGTACAGATCACATAAATTCCCTTCGGCAAATTGTATAGAAAACCGGGGAGTACAATTTCTCATTTTGTCTTACGTATGTTGACTAAGAGAAAGCCTTTAATTCCATCGAAATTTGGGTGGTGCTGTAGTCTCTTCCGTAATGCCAAGTTGACTGTCGTTGGCAATCCGAATACAGAACCAAAATACGAAACTTATCTAACTATAGAGAGCTATAAGACAGGATATCAACATAAATGGCGGGTACATCACTTACTTTCGATTTGCCAACGATATAGTTATTTTGGCAGAATTGTAGCACTATGCTCAATGACCTCGCTTCAAAACGAATAAATCTTAAAATGAACATGTACAAGATAAAAGTAACTTCCATGTCACACCCATGCCGATAGCTATTGAGAGCACTACTGTTGACGAAGTTTGTTTGGTTATGACAAACTGTCCGATTATGTAAGTTTAACTTTGAACGGTTACCCCGGCTTGGCAGAGTTAGGGAGATTATGACACTTCTACACGTTACTTATACATTTAAACTTAAAACACGTGTAGTGTACAACAATCGTGTACTGCCAATCATAAAATAATTATGGATCTGAGACTTGGTCTTTTACTGCTGAGTTTTCTGCGTGATGTTCTTAAAAATGAGGATATCCGCAGTAGATGTAACCGATATAGCCCACTGGATCAGTAAGCTGAAGTGGCAATGGCCCTGCTTTATAGCTCGAAGCACCGACAACCGAAAAGAGCCGGAAGAAAGGTTATCGAGCGGCAGCCTTCTGTCGGTAAGCGAAGTGTAGGACACTGATGGATGGCGTTTGGTAGAGATGCAAGAAGTCGATTCATGCAGTTCGCTCAGGACCGTGATTTATGGCATTCCTTGTGGATGACCTATGTTCAGCAGTGAACTTGTGAAGTTGTAATAAAATTTAATAGCGGATTGTTTTCGGGGATATGAGCCTGACAGTTTTACTTTATTTATTTGCGTTTCACTGGAGGCTGATGTTGCGCGGTAAAATAACCGAAAGATTTTACTAGACAACTGCACTATTCGTCAAATTGAATACAAACAATGCATCGTTAGCAGCTGAAGAATTCATATCACTGCGACCTCGTGGTAACCGCGACGAAGTCCTAATTGTGTTTTAACACACTTTACTTCGACCACAGTACAATTGTTAAGATCATGAAATGCGAAACTTAAAAACCACTGAAACGTAAATTTGGAATCAGTTATATTTGTTCAAGTTTTTCACACGTTAATTATATTGTATAAAGTGTTTACTTATAGTCGATAATGCGATGTTTTCTCGCAAAAATTTGAAATCCCCGACCATAGGTTTCAATAATATACTGGATAAACATTTTATTTTCATAGAATTTCATTCGGGTGAATTATACGAGTAGAGGAAAGTCTAAGAAAAGATAGATGGACTTAGTTAGGGATCATATAAGTAAGAAAGGAGTGAGTGAATAGATAACGGTCGATAAGGAGTGTAGTGTATGTATATATATATATAAATATATATAAATATATATATGTATATATATATATATATATATATATATATATATATATATATATATATATATATTTCACTATATATTATATACTACTACACTACACACCTTATCGACGTAACCGAATTAGTATTTAAGTATGAGTGTTATTGTATTTAGTTACAAATTACATCGGAGTATGATTAACATTTTTTATTTCGTCTCCACGCGTCCATCCTCACAGGAGAATGGAAGGGGACGACATGCTAAGCCAACCCCAAATAACTTGGGATAGGTGCAGTAAGAAGAAGAAGCTATAATTTCATATATAATTAAATTATATATCTTATATAAATTATTTTACAGTATCTAATCTATGTTAACGCCTGTGCTCAACCCGATTATATATTATTGTTTGATTGAACAACTTTATCGAAAATACAGATTTTATATGAATTTTTATTTAACGCAATTCACAGGTAATATGTACATGTAAATCGTATTTTAGTAATTTTAACGGTATAGCCGGTCACACGCAGTAATTTACTAAAAGGTCCAATGGAACGAGTTCGCCAATAAATAATCACAGAATTCTTTAACAAGTTTTGTCCGCGAATTTTTTCCGTAAGACAAGAAGACAAAAATCATAAGTCCACACATTTTTGGGTAACCTTAGCCTTACGGTTACTATGTTTTTCTAATGCACGAAAAAACACTACTGGATATGGCTGATGCTGACTGACTGCTGGATATGATGGCTACTGCAGCTGAGCTTGGCCTTGAAATTGAAAAGGATCTCAGATATTTCTTTATTATAATAGCAATACACTAGTATATATAATACAATAGAAGGAAATACTTAGGAAACACCAAACAAAACTTTCCGTCACCAAATTGCGGTTTTTCCTAACAGTTTGTATTTATGCAACATATTATTTATGTACAGATTAACGATAGTGTCGCATATATAATGTGTAAACAGATATGTTTATCTGTCTATAAATAGCAGTCGTTGGATTTTCTAAATGCATTGTGGAACCCTCTTGCCCAGCTTGGAGAGGATGAACAAATCTTCTAAAAAATGCTTGTACGCAATGGTGACGTTGATGTTGATATAGTAAATCATAGCTTAAAGTTGCAATGAAATTTAAGCCGAGCGGTTGACTTAATTCGTTTTTTGGTTCTAATCTACTTAAATGTTTTTGTAATTATTGCAAGTGTCGATAAATAAGTAAATAATCCACCTGATGAATACCACAGATGCTTTGTCATATCTGAGAATTAAGGTGGAATGTCTCTTAGCTTGTAATTATTATGACTCTTAACACTCTTCTAACTGAAACCTCACAGTACATGCACTCTTGGCCTGTGGTAGATACAGGTAAGAAACTGATATTTACCCAGACGCATTCCTAAGCAGAAAATAGCTATGTCACTTTTAAAATGGTAAATATTTTTTTTAAATTAAATGATCTTAGATAATATGGTAAATAATCTCTTATCAAATTATTTTTAATATATTTTTCTTTCACAAAAATTAACCTTGTCCGTAACCGTGTAATATCATCCTTGTCCGTACTTGGGAACTATTGCTGATTCAGTTCAACATACTTTTTTAAAGGTATACCCATTTTAATTTGTTCGTTATTATAAATGATGCAAAATATAACCTAGTCTATAAATTGCATATTAAAAGCTGTTTTATAATTTTTTTTAACTAAGAAATGTTTTTTTAGTTCAAATTTGTTCTATTCTATGAAACTATTTCTAATCAGTCATAAAACGCAGTGATTATATACTCTTTGATCAGATATCACATCATTCTTTTTTCAAACGTAAAATAATTTTATTTATTGTCATGTAAAACTTATGTAGTGATTTCATGTAAAGATTATGATATACCCTTTGATGTCATGATTAATTTCAAGATTTCAAGTTGTAATCTTGTAAAATCTCAAGTTCAAAAATATTTCAATGTTTACTTGGTTTGAATTATTATTTGAAGTTAAAAGAAGTGGTTTGAAAACACCGGTTTATCAATATGATTTTTTAACATTAACATTTGAGTCATTGCGCAATTTAACTGCACTAAGCAAAACAAATTCCTTTACCATAAGCATAGGTGATAAATACGTAGATGTATTTAGTTTTTACTGTGTACCTGCAATTAGCGTCCAAGTATTTAAATAATTGTTATTATTTTCTATATACCTATCAAAAAATTATTTGAGATATAAGTTATTTATTTTTTGGAATTGCACCTAATTTATCCTTTATTAATGTCTCATAATTAAGATCAAAATATACAAATTAATATGAATTTATAAATTCTCTAACTAAATTAAATGTCTAAAACATATGAATGTGTGAAAACAATTAAATATATTAAGAGTTAGTTATGGGCTGGCCAATGGAAACTTTTTCAAGAAACGGAAAGCGCGAGGCAAAGGAGGCACGCGTGGGCTCCAGTGGTGGCGGCCGATCAAGGGATGCAGGCAGGGCTCGGTGGTGGATGGACGGTCGGGTCGGCTACAGCGAGCTCTCAGTGTCGCTCAAATCGCGGCGCGCGTTGGTCGTGCGTCGAGCGCGCGTGGAGTGATGTCTGCGAGATGAGACTGCCGCTGGTGCTACTGTGGCTGGGCGCGGCGGCGGCATGCGGCCCGGGCCGCGGCTTCACCCGCCGCCACGGACCGCGCCGCATCACGCCCCTCGTCTTCAACCAGCATGACCCCAACATCAGCGAGAACTCCAAGTCCGCCAGCGGTCCTCCGGAGGGCCGTATCACCAGGGATGATGAGAAGTTCAAAGACTTAGTGCCCAATTATAACCCGGACATTGATTTTAAGGACGACGAAGGCACCGGCGCCGATCGTCTTATGACCCAAGTAAGTGACTTAAAATGTTTCATAATTAAACTAGATCTAATTGACACAATAATTATCTTGGAAAAGTTTGCGTTAGTTTTTGGCAAAGTTTCTCGAAATGTGCGGTCACGGTTGAATGTTGAAAGTTGTATAACAAAACAATAGGTTTCATGAAGAATCCACTGTTATGAAAACACCTCCTCAGTGCGCGGGTAGGGACAATCGACGGTGTAAACATTACTGTCCGCGGAACAATGGGAACAAATTGCGGGCGTTACGGTAGCTTCGTAGCGAGTGTTACGATTGTAGCACTGCAATTACGCAGGCTTCGACAACAAACGTTTTGTCTCTGTGACTAATGGATGAATGATGAATTCTTTTCAATTTTGATGCCAGTTTTGGTGAATATATGACCGTCATAAAGTTGGAGTGAGAAGGTATTCGGAGTCATGCGTTGTCATTCACGACGTTTTGTATACGGATAAAGAGAACTTACGGGAAACTTATTGTCCGTTGCGCTGTTACTTTATTGTACATTTTTACGTTAGATCTTAAACTTCTTAATAAGCATAAAAATTATACCACGAAAATCTTATAATATAATAAGAATAAATAGAAAATTTATTTAAGTACGACATAACATTTAGAACAGTTTTAAGGTAATATTTATTTAATCTAGATAAGAATAATATGATACTAAATATTTTAGAGATAATTGAATTGACATACATCTTTTTAGAAAAATCGTGGACATAAAATAAAACTCATGGATTTTTCAACCATGATGATGTTTAGATTGGGTCAGACACGGAGATATTAAAAATGATCGAAATTACCATTATGTAAAAAATTATGCAATATGCAAGCATACAAGACTGATCAAATATATATAAAAGATGACCCTTGAATTGAATAAAGGTGTTTCTTGAATTTAACAATTAACAAAGTTTTTAGATACGCATTTTAAGATGAATAAAGGTGTAAAATAATGTTCTCTTAACTTTTGTTATGTTTAAATTAAAAAATAAACATTATAAGAAAGTATTTGTTAGCTACGGATATGTTGTTTAAGACTGACTATTTTTTTTCTATGAATGCAAGAACTTATTAGGTCACATTATGAATGATTAGCTAGTATACAATACAGATTTTTATGTGGTATGGTTGCTTAAGACTATTAAAGATAAAAAGATCACGAATTAAATTATGAGCATTGGTTTCAACTTGATGGTAAATCGGTTAATATACGCTCGACTCATTCAGTTTGTGTCGAGTTTCAGCGGCACCGTCCGACGGGTTTGCTCTAATGGCTTAACAAACATGGGCCCATGTTGACAAATATACAAACATTCGCTATGGCGTTCGTAGTTCGTACTATTTCCTGAAAGAAGTAGGTCATTACGAAACGTGACATACTAATCTCGTCATTACATTGAGATTTCACTAATTGCCGTTTAACAACCTTTTTATGTCCTCATCTAAAGCCTGATTTGCATGGGGAAATATCTCTAAAAGTGAGTCTGAAATACTATTTGCTTATAAAATTAGCTCTTTTTTATATAAAATACCATAAATGCATAATTTTCCATTATCATACCTCAGCTTATTAGCTTATACCTCGTACCGGCGATGGGGGCGGCTCTCCACTAGATGGAGTGACGACCTTGTGAGACATGCAGGAAGTCGATGGATGCAGGTGGCTCAGGACCGCGCTTAGTGGCATTCCTTTGGGGAGATCCATGTCAGTAGTGGGTTTGTGAAGGGTTGTAATGATGGTGATGATGATGATGATATCTCGCTTGCATTATCATCACTAAATTTTTTTCCAGTTTAGATTTTCCCGTTTTTATAATTTTTATTGAAATCGTTTTTATATTTGTATACGTGGTAGAGCCATGCTGCAGCGATATTAATAGTATAGTTGTAGCACGAATGGGTCGGCTCAACCGGGGAAGGACCACGCTCTCACAGAATACCAGCGTAAAATGGCAGCTTGACACTGCTGTGTTTCGTATAATGAGTGTAGAGAACCGGAGACTCATTTTACTGCAAAAGAGGCATTCCATCTTAGTCCTCACGGGTGACGACGCATCTGCATTTTGATTCTTCATTGAGGATAAATGTAGATGTTTATGGGTCACAGCAACCACTTACCATCAGGTGGACTGTGTGCTCGTTTGTTACCCTACCCTATAAAAAATGTAATCTTTTACTCGACTGTCCCACAATGTAGGTTTTGTTTTTGGGGGGCTTATTCCTTTGTGACCTCATGTAGACTAAACAGTTTTACAAATTCGTCCGCATTTCCTGAGTATCATACATGGGTTACATTTTATGGTTGAACAATACCACAGCTTAAAGAGAGTCTAGTAGCGTAGAGTAGTTAGTTCTATAAACTGTAACAATACTAACAGAATGCTCGTAAAACCACTATAACGCTTGTAGCATAATATTTTAATAATGGCATCACACAGTCGATTATTTTGATTTTAAAAATACATTGTTCACATACATATATTTCATTCATTATTTTATTACGGCCTATCAAAAGCCGATTTCTGAAAATAGGATCATATATAAATTCAGTATTAATAAACTTACTATATAAAACTAATTTTATGCACCTAAATGAGTTCGTGCTTATTAATATCTAGGTATATAGGTATACTACAGTATAACAATCACCGTGACAGCTCAAAGGAGCGTGGTAGATAAGCGCTCACTTTAATATTGCATCGTACGGGACCAAACCGAGTTCTATTTCCGCCGGCACAACTGAAATTTGTAAATTTGCCACGTGCTCGGTGGTGAAGAAAAACATGTGCAGGAGGAGGACATGTATTTTACCAACACATTTTTACCCATACAACGTATTTACCCTTAAACCTTAATAAGAATAGAATATGTCACGTGTAAAATATGAACTATCCAGTATAACTATATATCCTAAATACATATACTTTTAAAATGAAATCACAGTTACTACACAGCACTAAAATTAAGTAATATATTAATTATTAAAAGTTATTTGCTACGGAACTTTAAAGAATTAATATAGCTCTTCTACCGACTTCAAAAAGGAGAAGGTACGCAATTTGACTGTATGTTTTTTTTATGTGTGTTACCTCATAACTTTTTACTGGGTGAACCGATTTCGATGATTTTTTTTTATTTGAAAGATGGTGCTTCACATGTAGTTCTATTTTATCAAGGTTTGACCAATAATTTTTGAGTTATTCTTAATAATTTATACTGAAGTCCGTTGTACCAAATTTTTAATTTTTAATTATGTGATATAATATTGAAATTGAATCTAGTATTTATTATCATCATTTCAGCCCTTCACAAGTCCAGTGCTGAACATAGGTCTTTTCCAAGAAATGCCAGTGCCACTAATATTTACACTTTCTTTTCTTTTGCTATAAATTCACAAAATTATCCATTAGACAAAACTTGAGTTTTGCTTACGTTTCAGGCTAAAATCTTTTGAATGAAATTTCATATTTTCACAATATGCAAAGGTTATTTTAATACCTATTATCATTTCGAATCTTCATCCATATTTTTATTAATTTTATATATTTCATTAAAACGAAATTTCTTTTTATTATAAATTTTATATCATGGAAATGTACAAATAATGTAAATTACTACTAACAAAACTAGTAATTAGGGTTCTTTATTATAATGTATTTTGGAGACAGTATCTTTTTAATTATAAAATCATTATGACTGAAAAATAGCAATTTGTGTGTAAAATAATTATTTTGTAATCAATGGGTGAGGTTTGTACTTAACAACGAATGAATTGAACGAACTAGAGAAATCGATCATAAGTCCTGACTTCGAAGCGGAATATCAAATTGTTAGATCGTTTTTAAAAGTCTACCTCGTTTGTTAAATTTAATTGCAACGCCATGAAATCAAATACTAATCATTTGCCAAATACCCTCACATCAATGTCAAAAGAGATAAATTATGATCTTTAAGCCAATTTTGACTTTAAATTGGGATTTAAATTTTGACTTTAAATTAGTTTTCTATCGTGCACTGCTGCACACTGATTATACTCGTAGTTTCCCACTCACCTAAATAACCTCATCCGATGTAAAATTTATGCGATTGGAATGCACAAATGGAAGAAGTATCGGAGACACGGGACAAACACGATATAACCAGATCTGAATACTGTTTTTGTACAAATATTGACTCTAAATCAGATTTTAATACAGGACACTCAACAAGATATTTTGATCACTAAGACACGTAGTCTTCAAAAACTACAAAGAGTAAAATAATTTCTTCATAATTTAATATCTTCTGAAGTCGGTACTTTACTTCTTCGATGACTACACTATGTTTTAGCATGGACTTAAAAAGATACAAAACGATGGTTCTGTTTAGTTTTTTTTTGTTTCGTACACAAAGGGTAACCAACGGGACCCTAATGATTTCTTATATTTACGAGAAGACTACACATTAAATTAAACTAATTTTTACGGATTTTATCGCGTTTAATTTAAATTTTTAATTCCCGATGTATCGGGTTCTTTACAGCACCCATGGTCACGGGGAGGACTGAGGTGTTTGACGTCTCGATGTTATAGTTAGCCTGGCTATCTTCAGTTTGTGAATATTAATTTTGGTCCGATCTACGTAGAATGTGCTTATAGTATCTTGAAGTCTTGCAGTGGTATGCTTAGGTTTGGATTTAATTTGATTAATTATAGGATCCCAAGCAGATGACAGCTCCAATCCATCTTCTCTATTGTAATTAGGGTGTTTGTAATTTCAATAGCCTCGCGAATCATCCTTGGTAGGAATCGGTGTTCTTTTGCGAGGATTTGTGGTCTATCGAATCTAATGTAATGGCGGGGATGATCTTGAACATCTTCACAGACTGTATACGTCCCGGAACGTCAGTGTTTCAAGTCAACTGTGTGTTCTTTAAAAACTTCGGGAATTAAAAATTTAAATTAAACGCGATAGAGTTCGTAAAAATTAGTTTCATTTATTTAAAT